AGAGAGAGAGAGAGAGATGTAGATAGATATAGATAGATACATTTGGCACCCACAACCTAACCTAACGTAACTTACAATTTGTCATAAGTATGCCTTGAGCATTGAGCGTTAATGAACATTCTCTGTCGACTACCTTTGGAAACAAACAGTCGGAAGCAGACAACCGCGATTGATTCGCACCAATTTATCTCCACCCATTAAAAAATGTCACAGAACATAAACAAAAAATGACCTGGATAGTTGCAGCAATCTAAACACCATCCATGACACAAGTCCCAATATGAACTATTTTTGCAGAGACAAGCCTCAATCAAGCTTAAAATTTCAAAAACTTTGTTCCATCTTCAATGGCAAAGCAATTGGCAAGCATCCTATACGCAGCTGAACTAGATTTCTATTTATAGTTCTGTGTCTAGAAATATACAGGTGGATGCACAGGAATACACGTTCAACGGCTTCTTGCAATATTAGAAAAAAAACTCCCAATTTACCAGGAATGACGAAGTACTTGTATGTGGTTCTCACTGTACATTATCGTTCCTGAGTAAAAAATTTAATAATGACACATAGTTTTCATATCCTATTTGATGTCTCCACAAAGTGTTAGAGAGTGGGTACTTGGTATACTTTCTCAGACTCAGCCTTGTAGAATGAGCAAGGACAGTTTCGAATTTATTGGATGTTGTTGCATTGTATGTTGAATTTTCGAATTTAAAAAATGCAAATGACTAAAGATAGTCATATGACCGTCATATGTGACAAATTGCATTAGTTGTGGTTACTTTAACACTTTGTGCAAGACACATTTGCCTTATTTAGCAACTTGACTCGGTAATTCCACAGCATGGGCTCACCTTCTCCACGGAAAGAAATCCTCCACAACATTGACCCTCTCCAACGGCGATCAAAATCCTCATCTTCACACTTGTGGTCTGATGACATTTTTGACACCTCTACTTACGCTGCTATTCGGTCCGGGAACTGGAAGTTGCTGACAGGTTATCAAGGTGAGTGGAAATATAATTGTACACTCAAGGTTATGGTATTTTTTTTAATTTTATCTTATTCCAACATGTGACGTGGTGACGGCACACTCAAGTTTTGTCAACTTATGTTAATGTCACTATCAACACAGGGGACAGTACAATACTTATTTTCACTGTCGTGAAAGTGTTAGGTGTCTTTCCCAGGGGCACAGGATCGTTGGCATGTCATGACTCGAACGCGGTATTTCATAGCTGACTTTTGATTTCTATATGTGCCTAAATCTTTAATTACGTAGCATGAATTTTCACCGAAACCCCATAGAAGCCTACATTTTCTATTCCAGACAACAATATCATTTAATAAATACTACAAAAAATTAAAAAGAGAAATTAAAACTACGACCTAGACGTAGGACATAAATTATACGTTTAAGATCCATTGGACAGTGATGATACATATGCTTTGATTAAAATTTTTACCCTACAAAAGCCATTAACAAAACAAAGATCATTACATGTTCTGTCACATTTTGTATAATAAAATACCGTACCCAGCACTTTGGACCAGATAAAATAAAAGAATGGGTTCATACTTCGCACTGCACCCATTGCGTTAATGAAATTAAGAAAACGGAAGATGGTTATACGGGTAGATGTAGAAGTGGGTTAACAACAATGAAATTAAAGACAAAGTTTAAAAAGGAGGCTTGATTGTCTAACGTTACTATTACTGAGGAATGTCATTTTTTTAACGATTTTATTCTTCAAAGCCCTTAAGTCATATACATAAGATACATGATCATACAATGTAAATATAAATATGCGTATTTAGCAACAGTTATAATCATTGATAACAATGTGTGTTTCATTTTTCCAGAAATTGTCTGAGTATAGATAATTGCTAGTGAACATCATATACATATCATACATGAAAATACTGATAATTTAACTGAAAATCAAATATAAGTTTGACACAAGTTCATAAAAATTAAGAATACATCATCTTTCTTTCTATAATCATCTTTCCATTCTTACCAAGAAATAAATATTGCGTATTTAGCAACAGTTATGAGATTTGCACTACCACTTCTCACCAGTAACACTTCTTGATCATTAATAACAATGTGTATTTCATTTTCTATCCTACTCCAGAAGTTGTCTAATCTACAACACTCCAAAAACATATGTTGATAATTTTCAAGTTTGTTGCACAATTCACAGTAACGGTGCACACCCCAATTCTTGCGCGACCGGGGTCCGTGATAGTCCGTTGTAAAAAAGTGACGAAAGGGTTTTGAGGGTCCAAGTTTGAGGCGACATTTCTCATAAACTGCAACGAAGTATCATTAAACATTAACATGGCTAAAGAGTGTAAAAATGGTGATTTTGGGGTGAAGATTTCTTTTGGCTCCGAACCTTACTTCCGGGTATCCTTGCGCGCCAAGTGTAATCCGCCCGTTTGACCTAGATTTCGCTCTGCGACTTCGTAGGGGTGGATTTGCAACCCCTCGCGCCTTGGACTGTTTAGAAAATTACAGTACTAGAATTTCCTTTATACTTTACTCGGGTATAGTCAAGGCTTGGGTCTTTCTGCCAGCATCAGTCATTTCTGCCGGAAAATATTTTTCTATGGGATTATCCTACGCGAAAATTCGAAATTTTGGGCATTAATTTTGGAGTGAAAATAATGTTTTTTTCCGTTGATTTTACCAAACTTAAAAAGGTTGAAGAAACCAAACTCAGCTTGTCTTGTAGCTGAAGAGATATCCTTTCGTCCCATATACAGTTATTCTCCTTCCGAATTATTTCATGCCAGAGACGGTCGCTAGATTTGAGAGTGTGCAGCTTCGAATAGAGACGCCAAATAAACTGGGGTGTGCCCCCTTAAGGACTGTAAATATTTCCTGATACATTTCGTATTTTCCACATATGTAGCAAGTACCTACAAGGCAAAATTCTATGTAATAACTTTTTTTAAATTCGCGCAGTTTGTTATTCTTAATTTGACAGATCTGACATTTCCATATAGCCTTCCAGTCTGGATTAGGTAGTACAGTTTCCCAATAAGCTTGGGCAGTTGGTTTGCTACATGTATATGACACATATGTTAGGTATAGATACTTGCTAGTAAACATATCAACTATTTTGCTGTTCTCATTGTACCATATCATGTCATTTTCATTACATAAATTTGCTGCAGACTCCTCATTACACAATGTTCGTCCTATTGACCTCTTAATACAAGAATACTCGCACAACCAATTGTGTTTATTAGTTAGCTTCCTCAGCAAAGACTCTGACGATATGAAGTCTAAAGCAATATATATATATCTAACATAAATGATACCACTATCAATCCAGTTTTTGAAGAAAATAATAAAAAAACACAACAAAGGAACAAGTTAGGCTAGTACCGAGGAACCCATATCTAAACAAACCTTTTTAAATTTAAAAGTCGTTACCGAGCATTAAGTAATAATAAAGAATACATGTTGAAGGAATGGTATGAGACGCGCATTCTGGATGCATCCTAGATGCAACATCTCTTTTTAACCCTATCTAGACCGGGGGGGGGCTAAAAGTGCCCGCGCCAACTTTGATGTCACATAGCGTCTGAACGGCTAGTGCTAGAACGGCCAAACTTGGTGACTTTTCCTAGAATATTATTGGCAACAATTCTATATCATTGAAATAAGAAAATAATTTTTTGGGTTGCCATGGCAACGGGTTTCCTACAGGTATTTTTTGCTAAATTTAGTAATTTCCATTTCAACAATAGAATTGTATGGGTTTTATGTCAAGTTACACATAGTTACTAATATTAATAACATCCCATAAAATTTTATGTAAATTTTGTCATGAAAAATGCATAAATTATGCTAATTTGATGACGTCCTTGGCCAAAATCCAAGATGGTGGACCATATCATTATCATTAGAACAGGTATATACAGGTTTTTTCCTCCAAATGTCATCAATACTTCCATCTCTTTTCACAAAAAAATTTTCATATGAACGTCTTTAGTCTGTTTACAATGTATTTTCGGCTTTATCCTGAAAAAAAAAACTATTTTTGAAAATTCAAGATTGATGATCCAAGATGGCGGATATCTTAAATATGCATGACGTCATTATATGACGTCACCGGCGTTGCTATGGGCAACATAAGACTTGTTACACCCTAATTTACTGTCATAAACACTTTTGGTAAAGTTATGTTGTATAACATTTAGTTTTCAGGGAATAACCTATTTAGACGGTTTTGGCCAATAGCATCACATTAATGACGTCATGATTACGTCATATTACGTCATAAGGACGTAAAAATTGTAGATATGATAAATTATTACTGGTACACCATCCTCTTAAAAATTGGTGGTCATACGATATACCGTTCGTGAGTTCTGAGGGCAAATGACGCCCCCCCC